ATAATATTATATAGATAATAGAATTACATAGATAAAATATTAACATAGATATTAAATTAGATATTTAACATAGTGTCTGACCGCTGCTTAGATTTAAGGGAACAGAGAGAAATCTACCGTAGTACTAATTGTTACAAAAATCTTCAACTACCATCGCATTTTCTGCCCCAATCGCGCTAAAAATTATTGATAAGCTAGCATGCAGAATTTCATTACGAGATATTTCTAGACACATACACGACAAATGCAAAATTCACACGCCATACTGCATGGAAATTTTAACTTAGCTATCGAATATATGGGAAGTGACAGCAAATACAGTGTACATGCATTCACACCATATGTAGGCCCGTAGTAGTTACTCTAATTATGCTGACCTGGGTGACCCCAATGAGTGCCCACATAATTAATATTTCACAAGTAATCAATTCAGCACGGCAGAACAGTAAACACAGTTTAACTAGCAAACGCTGAGTGTCTTTATGGAACATAATGGTAAGTCACTCGACCGTTCACTCGCGTAACAAAAGCTATCTCTGTATGCAAATATGATATCACAACAGCACTATTGTATACTAATTACAGTGGGGCTACAAGAGATTGCCTAATTCATAGAAAAATGTCTATATTTAATGTTTTAGTGAATTTAACCTTGTCTCTATGGTGATAACTATGAGTCTATGACAGTATAACTTCACAGGTGACCTCAACAGTTGAATATAACCAATTATTTAATGTTTGAAAAAGTGAGACTGAACAAGAACACATGCTAACTGGGAACAGATCGTACACACACGTTTCACAACCTTTCTAACTTACAGTTTATGTTCAGATATAATTTATCATAACATCAGATGTGTTTACCACACAGCTACTAGAACTAGCTACACCACACGTATGCAAATGGCTCTTGATCTTCTTCTTATTCCACGTCTTCCCCTTCCCCTACCTCTCTATTTCTTCTGTCACCTTAACTCTCCCCTCCGGTTATCAGTTAAGGTGACAGAAGAGATAGGAGGGGAGAGTGAAGGTGGCAGAAGAGATAGGAGGGGAGAGTTAAGGTGGCAGTAGAGATAGGAGGGGAGAGTGAAGGTGGTAGAAGAGATAGGAGGGGAGAGTGAAGGTGGCAGAAGAGATAGGAGGGGAGAGTGAAGGTGGCAGAAGAGATAGGAGGGGGGAGTGAAGGTGGCAGCAGGAGAGATAGGAGGGGAGAGTTAAGGTGGCAGAAGAGATATGAGGTAGGAGAAAAACCTCCGAATATACACTGAAAACATGTATACAATTCATACACTGAAAAACCTCCGAACTCTCCCCTCTCCTATCTCTGCTGCTGCCACTGCCACTCTCCCCTCCTATCTCTCCTGCCACCTTCCCTCTCCCCTCCTATCTCTCTCTGCCACCTTCACTTCCTTCACTTCCACTATCTCTTCTGCTACATTCACATTCTTCTCTGTCTCTATCTCTTTTGCCACCTTCATTTCCTCCCCTCCTCTATATCTCTTCTGCCAACTTTACCTCCTTCTCCTCTATTTCCTCTGATACTTTTTAATTCTTCTCCTCCTACCCTTCCTATTGCTCTCTTCTAGCTCCTTATGTGCTTTTACTTCTTTTCCTTTATGTGCTCCACCCACTCCTCTTTCTTCCCCTCCTCTACCACCCCCTGGTCACCTACCTCATCCCTTCAACTACCTTTTCTTCTTCCTCTATCAACTCCCATTCACCTACTTTCCATTCAACCTTTTCCCTTTTTCTTCCATCTCCTCCCTCTACTACATTTTCTATCCTCTCCACTCCCTCCAACATGAAGCCTATCACACTGATATACTGATAACTTCAGGCATGTACTGAACTGACGCTCAAGGGGTCGTTGTCGTATCAGGTACTACAGATATGTATCCGAGGTACATATATGTATACACAAAGTGTACCAGATTTGTACTACAGAAGTGTACCCTAACCCTAACCCTAAACATACCTCATATAAAAATATAAACAGAATACTAAACAACCTAAAACTACCTCGGGTACATATCTGTAGTACCTGATACGACAACGACCCCATCTGCTGAACTGACTAGTGGAATTTTATGAGCCAACTCAACCCTAGCATTACTGACCCAACTTGTGTGAGCGAGCGTTCGTGCGTGCGTGCGTGCGTACAACTGCATGCATGAATTTACACGTGTGTTTGTGTTGGTGAGTAACTGTATAACTGATACTCACGAGTACATTGGTGAGGCAAGGAGTCGTTGACTGGGCGTGTGTGGCGAGACTGTGACTTTTTCCCCATTTCCTGATCCTGGGGAAGCAGGCTGCAAACAGAACAGTGTTGTTACATACATGCCAGTTGTTTAATTACTGTTTTAAGGGAAACAATTCTTAATTAGAGGCTCTAGAGACATCATAAATTAGTTAGATATACGCCTATTATTAATGAATTAATAAACAATGAAATTTCGGCAGTGTGCTCTCTTTCTCATCCATGCGTTGGTATTTCGTTCCTTAAATGCACACTAGGTGGCAGCACATTTGAGAAACTGTCAGACATTTCTAAATTCTAGCTTCGATTTGTTTAGACATTAACGTCAGAGCCAAAACGTAGTTGCTAGTCCTAAAAGGTACGTCATATGTATTTCCTCACATTCAGTCACTATACCTGTACATGTCAACAATTTAATCGAATAATGTGGTCAATTCATACATGACCTTTTCATTCGTACTGACTCACAAAGTCGAACGAGTCACACACGACTCACGAGTGAATTTTCTCAAGGTGTAAAACAGCTGCCACTGCCCTGGCTCTCAACATTGGAGACTGTGAATCTCCCGTGGCTCAGATGACCACGTAAAATGGCGGTCCCGTCTCCAGTAATACTAAGGCCAATGGGGACGTAAAAGAACCACTGAGGGCGCAAAAAACTGGCTGTGACTGTAGTGCACAAACTTGGAATTTCAGCGCATCCGCAGTTTGGGTTTGGGCAACCAATCTTGAGATTGGGCAAACAGAGGTAAACGGAGCTTGCACAAACATATGATTATTAGGATTTCAAATGTTATATCATAACTATAAGGTCGTATACATTCTTTCCTCAATGTATTTGGCACCTTTCATTGTATAAATATTAAATGGTTATAATAAATAATTGGATAAGATTTAATATGACTCATGAGATAAATCTCTTCCTAGTTTGCACCACGCACACCACATACTCGCTATGAGCGGTTGTTGAAACACCAACTGTTTTCAGTTTGCCCAATCTTGAGATTGGTCAGCCAAACTAGGGAATCCGCAGTTTGGGCAGCACAATCGCTGCACAATCTCGAGATTATGCAGATTCCAAGTTTGGGTACAACATGACAACCCTCAGCGCCATTCGGCTAAAAGTAAAGGGCTAACTACCTGGCTTTACCCAAGCTAGGTCACACCCCATGACTAGCTATAGCCCTGGGGCCTGTTGTCAGAAACAAAATTAGTCTTAACATCAACTTCCACTCGTAACCATTGACAGAAACATCGCAACGTTACGAGAATGAAAAATCCTCGAAAATATCCTCTTAATATAACATATACCTATAACATTACAAGAGCCCAGACCCTCTCGTAACTTTAATATTAAGTTGAAAATAACACATTTACACTACGAATTACAATTATATACTGATTATATTTTATAATAATGATTAAAATGTGTTTTTCTTGAAAAACACGTCAAAATCATTAATTATCTACCGATCATAAAACAAAACAATACATTTACAAATGGCGTATGGCATTTGTTCTCTTGTTTTAAATGTTTGCCACGCTTGCCACGACTCTCGCGTCTATTATGTTTATATATATTTATATGTACACACATGCTAAGGTTGCGGAATAATTGAGTGTGGTTTTGTTCACACAGCCACGCGATGGAGGACAGTCACCAGGACATATGCCGGGTGTGTCGGTCGGAGAGCTCGCCTGACCGGCCGCTCTTCTACCCGTGCATCTGCACCGGCAGCATCAAGTACATCCACCAGGAGTGCCTGATGCAGTGGCTGAAGTACAGCAAGAAGGAGTATTGCGAACTGTGCAAGCACCGCTTCCTCTTCACACCCATCTACGCGCCGGACATGCCCGGCCGGCTGCCGATACGCGACATCATCAGCGGCCTGTTCTCGAGCGTCGGCACGGCGATACGCTACTGGCTTCACTTCACGCTGGTGGCGCTCGCGTGGCTCGGCGTCGTGCCGCTGACGGCGTGCCGCATCTACCGCTGCCTCTTCACGGGCTCCGTGTCGTCGCTGCTCACGCTGCCGCTCGACATGCTCTCCACCGAGCACCTGCTCGCCGACTGCACGCAGGGATGCTTCGTCGTCATGTGCACGCTCTGCGCCTTCATCAGCCTCGTGTGGCTGCGCGAGCAGATCCTGCACGGTGGCGCCCCCGAGTGGCTCGAACCGCCTGACGAACCGGCCGCCGACCCGAACGGCAACGACGCCGCGAACGAGGTCGTCGTCGCCGCCGCCCACGAGGGGGCGCCGGCGGGCGAGGATGCCGCGGACGGGGCGGCGGCGGGCGACGGCGACGACGCGCAGGACGTCAACTGGAATCCGATCGAGTGGGACCGCGCGGCGGAGGAGCTGACGTGGGAGCGGCTGCTCGGCCTCGACGGCTCCCTCGTCTTCCTCGAGCACGTCTTCTGGGTGATCTCGCTCAACACACTCTTCATCCTCATCTTCGCCTTCTGCCCGTACCACGTCGGCCAGTTCACGATCGCCGGGCTGCACCTCGACGGCTACTACGTCGCGTCGCACTTCGCCGGGCTGCTAACGACTCTCACCGGCTACGCGATCATCGCCGGCGGCCTCGTCGCGCTGCACACCGTCGCCGCGGCGACGCGCCTCCTCCGCACCGAGCGCGTCGTCGGGCTGTGCTACATCGTCGTCAAGGTGTCGCTGCTCGTCGTCGTCGAGATCGGATTGTTCCCGCTCGTCTGCGGCTGGTGGCTCGACGTGTGCTCGCTGCCGCTCTTCGACGCGACGGTCGAGGATCGGCTGAGCGGGTTCCGCGCGGCGCCGAGCGCGAGCATGTTCATACACTGGCTCGTCGGCATGGTCTACGTCTTCTACTTTGCGTCGTTCGTGCTGCTGCTGCGCGAGGTGCTGCGGCCCGGCGTGCTCTGGTTCCTGCGAAACTTCAACGATCCAAACTTCAACCCGATACAGGAGATGATCCACCTGCCGACGTACCGGCACGCACGCCGCTTCCTCGCCTCGCTCGTGCTCTTCGGCTCGACCGTGCTCGTCATGATGTGGATGCCGGTGAAGCTGATTAAGAGGCTGTTCCCTACGTTCCTGCCCTACCACGTCGTGCTGACCAACGACACGCCCGTCAGCGAGCTGTCGCTAGAGCTGCTGCTGCTACAGGTGGTTGTCCTCATACACACACACACATAGATTATAGATATTATTATTATTACTGACCCTTTTATTTCCCTTAATTTTCCTCATCATATTTCGTTCGTTGAAGGTCCTTTTTGAAGGTCTATTTTCCCCCCACTCCTCCCTCTATTTTTCTTATCACTTTTTCGTTCAGTGCAGGCCATCCTATTTCCCTGTTTTTTCCTACTTTTCACACCATCTCTCTTTCGCTCGTTGCAGGTCATCCTACCGGCGCTGCTAGAGCAGCCTCACACGCGGCAGTGGCTCAAGAACCTCGTGCGGGTGTGGTGCGGCGGCGTCGCCGGCGTCCTCAACCTCCGCTCCTACCTCCTCGGCGACCTCCCGCTCGCCGACGGAGAAGACGACGTCGTCGTCGGCAACGAGCCCGTGCAGCACGTGCAGCCGGCGCCGCCGCCAGAGGGCCTCGTCGGTCTCGGCGCGGAGCACCACGCGATCCTGCTCGGCGGCGGACCAACGGGCTTCCAGCCGTACCGGCGTCCCGCGGCGTTCGCTCTGCGCATCGCCGCTCTCCTCGCTCTCGTCTCCCTCACGCTGCTGCTGGGCAGCGTCGCCTGCCTGGTGGCGCCCGTCTGGATCGGCCGCCGGCTGATGCGCGTCTGGATGGGATCGAGCGCGATCCACGAGCTCTACACGACGGCGTGCGGCCTCTACGTGTGCTGGGTGGCGACGCGCGCGAGCACGCTGCTCTACGGTTGGCTGCCGCACGGGCGCGCCGCCATCGCGGCGCGCGTCCGCGAGCGCGCCGCGCTCGTCGTCAAGTCGCTCGTGCTGACGGCAATCCTGCTCGGCGTCGTGCCGCTGCTGCTCGGCTGCCTCGTCGAGCAGGTCGTCATCACGCCGATACGCATCCCGCTCGACCAGACGCCGATCCACTTTCCGTGGCAGGACTGGGCGCTCGGCGTGCTGCACCTGAAGATCATCTGCGCGGCGACGATGATGGGCCCCAACTGGTGGCTGAAGCGGCGGCTCGAGCAGGCGTACAACGACGGCCTGCGCGACGTGCGGCTCGCCGACGTCGTACGCCGCGTGTGCGCGCCCGTCGTCGCGTGCCTCGGCCTCGCGCTCGCGCTGCCTTACGTCGCCGCGCACAGCCTCGTGCCGGCGCTGGGCGCGGGCGACGAGCTGCAGCGGCTGATCGCGCGGCGCGTGTACCCGGTGTGCACTGCCGCGCTGTTCGTCATCGTGCTGCTCGGCGTGCAGACGAAACAGTTCCGGCGGCTCTACGAGCACATCAAGAACGACAAGTACCTCGTCGGTCAGCGACTCGTCAACTACGACCGCATGCCCGCCGCCGCGTTGGCTCGACTCGCCCCCATGCAGCAGCTGCAGGAGGAGGAAGAGGAGGCGCAGGAAGGGAGGGCGAGGTAGCCCCCGCACCCGGCGTGACGGCACGCGCAGGTACGTGTGCAGGTGTATGTCCACGTTACGTCCAGGTGTGCAGGTATGTACAGGTATGCACACACGTCGAGGTATGGAGACACGTCCAGGTGTGCAGGTCCATACAGGTATGCAAACACATCCATGTGTGCAGGTACGTACAGGTATGCAGACATGTGCAGGTGTGTCCCAGGTACGTAGACGACGTATGTAATACGATCACACGCTCACACGTCGTACGTATCAATACGCACAGAGCGGCACGTCTTACTGAGACGATAACGCCCGCTTGGTGTGTTTCCAGGATAAATGCTAGTAGGGATCAGGGTAAAAAATTCACAGGAGCGATGAGCGATTCGCTCTTCAAACATCCGAAATCGCTCCCGCAAAATTTTTGACGAGAGCTATTTTTTCCCACAGACTTGAAAAAGAGCTCCCGTGGAAAAAAAGTAATCATACTACGTTCGATCGAATCTTCACGATCTTGTCAAGATGCCTGGTACGCGCACGTAAACAAGTGAACATCTCTCGCTTCAGGTGCCCTCGATCACTGCATCAGTGGTTGGCAGACGGATGGACACGAGGTCGACAGATAGGATGGTAGCAGCGCAGGTGCCAACATAGGTGGCGCCGGCATCTGCGGTGGAGCCATGTTTTCATGCGAATGCTCAGTCAGTATCTACTAAAGCCTTTAAATGTCTAACGAACACTGAGCTGCTTCAGGTTTGTGTATATTGGAGGCGCAAAAATGTACCACGTACACGTAGCGAGATATATTTTTCTTCTTTGCATTGACAAATGTATTATTAGCTGCATTGGGTAGATTATACACGCAGGCAGATGTATGCGCGTGTATGTATATATATATATATAATATATGTATATGTATATATATACATATATATTGCTGCGCATCGTGTGTCGGCCTACGTGATCTGTTATCCTTTCTTAGGCCAATACACAATGGGCTGATTAAACTGAAATTGTTGTTAGCCGGAGTGCGTGACATGACCTTCTAGTCTCTGTGTCAAAAGCATGCACTTTCAACATTTAGCAGAGTGTGCGCGATGTATTTCAAATGAAATGGGCCGAGTGACAACAGTTCATGTCATATTTCGTCCCGAGAAATGTCCCTTTGGAGTAATATGTACTAAATATGAAATGATTTGTTTTGCTATATCATTTGCTCGACTCTCGTAGCTTTTTGTAGTAGTTGAATAAGAATATGTTTGTTGCATTGCGAGCAGTCTTGTATAGGCAGGGCATAGGATGATGATGATTGCTGTGAGACTAACATTACGCTAAATATGAATATTAATATGATCATTATCAATGCAATGGGGTTCAAAGTATATTTAACGCTATTAACTACTATTCACCATTTTTTATTTAATTACATCTTAATTGTTATAAAGTAGTTTCTTTTCTTGCATTGAACATAAGATTCGTGTATATTACTCCGTGAATAAACGAACCAGCAGCCATACGGCCGAATATAAATGTTGTAACATTCCAAAATGCTGTCCTTGTGCTCATCAGTGAAACAATGCCAAACAATGTAAAGTGGAAAGCGAAGAGGAAGATGTGAGTTTAAGTGAGGCTTGGCAAATTAAGTGAATACTTATGCATGACATGGTCCACATTCAGACGGGAGACCTATTAGATTTACTCCTGCTGAGATTTCTGATCAGTGAAACATGAAGGTATTTGCTTATGCAGCAGTGTTGTTCTGTACCTAAAACCTGAAATGTTCGCAATTGCAAGGCTAGCTAGCTAAATCTTGATACAGTTTCACTAGGAGTTTGGCCTTGGGTACTTTAGCTGTTGGTATATAGGGATTAAAAAGATACTATACAATGGATGTACTGATTAAGTTAAAATGCATGCAACGCATTATAATGTCAACTCTTGTTATTATGCTTAAGGCCCGCTTATGTCGGCCTACGATTTATCTATCGGCGACTACTTTATCGCCGATTAGCAGCGTAGCAACACTCATGTCGACTTGAAGTGACTACGCTGCACATCGCCGATCAGATCGTAGCGTTCCTGCATGAAACGTAGACGGGTTCGCGGCCCCAGTATTTGTACTAGCACAAGCAGTTCTTTAGCACAAACAGAGCAAGTTTGACGCCGGGACCAGTCTACATAAAACGAGTCACGTACGTAAACAACAAAATGGCGCTTACCAGTAAACATCATGTAACTTCGTAAATCTATCCTCAATTTTCTGAACATCATTATAATCATGTGCAGAAATTTTTTTCATGTGATTACGGAAAACTTAATATATATTTGAGAAAGGGTTTGTGCAATAATCCCTCTTTGTAAACTGCTGACGAGTGGCGTGTAGGCTGCCATTTTATTAATGACGTGACTTTTGATAATCATGTGACTCGACACGCTGCGGTGATTGGCTGCCACTCACGATTTGTCGCCGACAGCCGCATAGAAATAGAACATGTTCTATTCCTGGAATTTCCTGCGATCGCAGTCGGCGACCGTATTTTCGATCGCAAGAGAACTCATGTCGAGTTTGGTCGCTGATGTTTTTATCGGCGATCTGGCCGGTTTTTGACGTACGATATTCAAATCTTGTCGGCGACTAGGTCGTAAGGCCGACATAAGCGGGCCTTTAGAGAAACCCTATAGACAAGGCCTCGTTATACACATGCACGTAATACTGTAAAATTTTAATTGTTGAACAGCATTATTAATTATTATTACCATTTCCAAAAAATGGCAGCCATTTTAGAAGAGCCCATGTGCAGATAAAACCCTTACGGATAACAGTTAGTAGCTTTGTTAGGGGAAGACTGTTATAGATACCAAAGCAACACGGTGACAGAGGACCTAAGCACAAAAGAACAATTATAAAAGAGTAAGTAACATCTGCGTAACACGTACCTGCCCTCGTGTGGTGGAGTACTGGAGGATGTGGTTTTTCATCGCTTGCATGAAGATCGTGTTGTAGAAGGTGATGATCGAATGTGTGGAAGAACCCGTAATAACAACTTTCCTGTAAACCTACACGAAAACACAAACGATGTAAGTATATACAAATCTACGCTTAGTTGGCTGTGCAGAGCACCCACTCGATTTTTCTGTGGGTTAAGAATTCACAACCATCTTTTGCATCACTTATATCTTTTTCACCATTAAAGTTCGCCCAGTCCCTCTCTCACTCATATCCTCGCACTCATGGCATGAATGTATGTGATACTCACCCCTTGGGAGGTGTGGGGCATCCGCCCATAGGCGGATACAATCGTCTTGAACTTCACCTCCCGCTCACAGAGAACCTTACAGATCGCGTACACACTGCACATCATCATCTGAAATGACACAACGAACCGTGTGAGCATCAGAGCCGCGACACCACCAACACTACTATGAGCATTACCAGCATTCAATTGCCCTGTGAGTCCACGATTCCTGTCCGCGGATAGAAATGCACAACCGATAGGCATTACATCCAGCCTCCAACATGGAAAGTGGATAAGGGTTAAGAGAATGAATAGCCGGTTCACACAGATCTGACAATGCCTGCTTAGAAATATGGAGACTTTCTAATCTAAGACATCGCGCACTGATGTGAGACCAACCAACAACTGCCCCAAAATTCCCCACACCACACTGAAGAATCACAGGTGAAAAAGTTATCAAGTAATTTAGGTTCTGGTATAGTACAAGTGTGTAAGCATTGCATCACCTGATCTAGATGTCGATCTCTAAGAAGGTCTGACTTCTGGGTGACCACGTGTTCCAAACATGTCCAAATCTTCTGCACCTGAAACATCGTGCAAACGTTGGCATTCGGCAAATGCGAGTGCAGCAGTCAAAAGGGACAAAACTACGATCATATCTAGTATAATGGTGAGGAAATTCATTGAACGAATACTGTGCAACAGTAAATGTAGTATCATTCAAGCAAAAAATCAAACAAACATCAGTGAAAATCCTGTTTTCGGCTACATTACGCTCATAACACGAGTACTTACACTTGCACGTACACACACAGTATACCGGGTTAGAAATGAACTTTTGAACAAGGGAGTCCGGCCCTCAAAAAGAACTTGTTAGTATAGCAGAATTTTCAGTCTACACCAAAATTTTCCAATACAAAAAGAGTGTGTAATGCTTGAAATTATGTTTAAAAATGAACATTGTAAAAAAAAATACAGTAAACAAATGAAAGGGGAATTTATTTTCTACAGATTAATTATTTATTTTTAGTTTATTAAACAGTTAAAATTGAGAGTTTTTGAAATGTCCGGATTCTCGGGTGGTCCAGATTTCTGGCGTCCAGATTTGTGGACTTCTACTGTAGTACACAAGCTGTACTTGCCACGTCCGTGGGTATGTCGAGGTACTTGCACATCGCCTGCAGACGACTATGAGCGAGGCGACAGACCTTGTTCAGAAACAATGCGAGCGAGTACGAGTGACCGGCTCGCCGCGACGGCGACACCGGCGACAGATGAGTGCCCCCTGGTGGCCGGATCGGTGAGCGGAACCTGCAAGACATCGAAAAGGAGTGAACATCCCAGCCTAGGCAGCTCATTCCAGCAGCAGAAACACATAGTTGCTATGACGATATTCAGTGATGGAAATTCCAACCCCCCCCTCCCGGTCCGGCTAAAGTATCGTAATCAAAATTTACGAATTAGGACTGGCTTGGTTTACAAGACTGTGATAACAAGACCACAGTTGTTCGCAATACAGGTTAACAGTAAATAATGTCACCAACATATAGCTGTGTTGGGGTGGAAGTGGGCATATATACAGATACAAACAGCTTGATACAGCAGTGTGGGGGTAGAAGTGGTCTCTGTGTATGAATTTAGAGGGTAAGGGTGATATCTGCGTAGGAATACAGAGATTATACATACAGCTGTGTGGGGTAGTCCCCTTGATGTAAGGGACTCGTGCTTGTTGCGGCCCAGTGAGTGAGCAGATCAAAGACAGGCGAGTTCTCCTGCCAGGCTAGCTGCTCCAGTATGCTGTTCTCAACATTCTGCAAGTGCTGTAACACGCAGAAACATCACCCATATACGCTGCGGTCAAACCTTTGTTAGCGGTAACAAGAGCGTCCATAGACGAACAGACACCTATCTATAGAATTAGACACTATTAGAATTCTTACGGAGTGATCCTTACACACAGGGTGTGACTATAGATACAAGCTCGGATACCCATACACTCTCAACCCGTTGATTAAATTCCACCATACCTTGACGACGTCACTATTGACACTATCCACCTGCCGATTAAAGGGTCCATTGATTATGCAATGTTGACGAATGCTAGAGTAACTGGTACCTTGTGTAGTTAATAAATACATTACCTTATAGCCAAACGCGTATTAGTTTGTACAATATCACTGCTGGTTACTAAGAATTGTCTAATTAAAATCCGCAGTCCAAAAATCAGTTGTTTACAGTTTCAAACCGCTGCCGGCGAAGCGGGTGTGATACAGATTTATAGTGCACCGGACATTTTCGCACACATGCTCGGCCGTATGCAATGGTATCATTATTGATTTCGTAAACATGGACGCTCGTGATAAGGAACTTTTTGTCAGGGCTGTCCACGTGCGTCCATGATTAGTACGTGTGTTTTACTCTATTTCCATGTTTAGTCCGTGGCCGTGGTTACACCGCTGACACCTCCGTTTCATCTGGCGTCCAAAACATACGGGCCGCACAAATGTTTACGTCATCGCTTGACTCCTGGATGACATTTACGGCACGTAAATGATACGTTGATACATATCAACAACCGATTTCAAGTCTTGTTTGTAATGTAACCAGCAGATATTAGACAAACTAATACGCGTTTGGCTATAAGGTAATGTACTTATTAACTACACAAGGTGCCAGTTACTCTAGCATTCGTCAACATTGCATAATCAATGGACCTATTATTCCTTTAATCATCACCATACCTTGACAACGTCATTCGTGACACTAACCACCTGCCGATTAATTACCACCATATCTTGACAACGTCATTCATTACACTATCCACCTGCCGATTAATTACCACCATATCTTGACAACGTCATTCATTACACTATCCACCTGCCGTTTAATCATAACCATACCTTGACGACATCACTCGTTAGCTTCGGCTCGGCTTTGATGAAACTCTCCAACACTTTGACGAAGTGAAACGGCTTCAGGTCGAACACGTCGAGCACCCATGGAAAGGAAAACTCCGACGCGAGATCGTGCTCCCCGAGCAGCGCACCTGCGAGGTCATTTACGAGAGTGAGCGAGGCGAACGTTTACAAATTCACGTTACGCGTCGCGGCCTTACTCTGCAGTGCTGAGCAACTCTGGGTCATGTCCTTATTCGAAGCATAATAGCATGAGAGACAAGGCGCGTTGGCATGAGGAGCCTGGGGTTGAGACAACGGGGTGTGATTCCGAGAGGGAACTTCTGCAGGGTTTATCGGTTATTCTATTTGAGATCAGAATCGATCTCTCAACCTCTGCGAGATTAGAGATCATCGTGTCCCGCCACCCACCCCAGATATTGCCGCTAGATCGGTCAAGCAAAGTCAAATTTGTATGTGGTGTACGACAAAATGTCTGCACATTGTTACTAAGCATTGACTTTAGACTTTAGAATATTCTATCGCAACAACAACTAGCCAGAGTTGCCTGCCAACCACATGAGGTGGATAGTTCAACGCCACGTCACTGCTCACGCACGAGATATCTGCGGGCAGGCGCGCGCGCGGCGTACCTGACGTTGCTCCGTACACTGTGAGCACGACCTCGACGGAGCAGGCAAGCAGAGAGCGGTGGAACGAGTCGCTGCACAGCAACGGCGTCAGGTCCGATGTGGCCAGTCTCTCCTGCTCCTACACGAACAACAATCGTTCGTCACCTACTCCTCATACGTGCATGTATAAGCACGTCTGTTCGAGGACAAGATAGCTCTGTTTGTATGTCTACGCCAGCGAGAGAAACACCGATGAATGCTGGGAAGCTGATGGCGCAACGCATGATAAACGTAAAAACCTCATCGTTTGTCACATCGGCAAAATCGTGACCCTAGACGATTTCTTTACATGTGCAATGCTTACAATATGCAGCGTCTTTCCACAGTTACACACGTGAGCGATAAATTTGTAACGCTGGCCACTAAAAATTGTCGCAGACTCGCAGCCTGCTAAATTGCAAAAAAACAAACACAGCGGCCGAATCTGAACAGAAAAACAACGCCACCACGACTGAATCGCCAACGAAAAATCTGCGTCGTAGAAGAACAAAGGGCGAGCCTGTGCCGTGGACGCACGCTCACCGTGCGTAGCATGGACTCCATCACGCGGTAGTAGAGGCTGCTGGCCACCGTGTAGCGTTGCCGCGCCGTCTGCTCAAACAGGCTGGAGCTGCCGGATACCGCCGGCAGTGCCGTGAGAAACTTGTTCACGAACTGCTCCTGCATCTGTCTCGCGCGGCACTGAATCAGCTCACCCGTGTCTATCGAACAGTTCTGCGAGGAACGTAGAAAAAAACGTAAAAAACGTCAATAAAGTAAATGCGGTGTGTAACTGTAGAGTGAAACCACAATGTAAAATTACAGCATGATATTGTAGAATAAAATTACGATGTGAAATTACATCATGATATTGTAGAGTACAACAACAGTGTGAAACTATAGCATGAAATTCGTAGAGTAAGATGAGGCAGTGAGAAAGTGAGAACACTATTTCAAAGAACCTAGAGCAAATGTGAAATCACGGTGTGCAAATCTAGTGCAGCCAATGCTCATCACTAACTACACAGCTTCATACGAACAAACGATGAGCTTCTTCGAACCCACACGCGGTACAGCGGCAAACAACTGCCCTGTAGAGACGGTCCAGGCCTCCCACACCCACAATAAACACCCACACTAACCGCACACACGAAACACTACGCAAAAATGAAAATCAACACCATCGCCTTCTCGCAACGAACAAACCCGCATAGACAAGACCTACAAATTCGCCCCGGCGCCGCCCGCAAATTCGCTCCGTGCCGCCCGCAAATTCGCTCCGTGCCGCCCGCAAATTCGCCCTGCCGCCGCCACCTCCCTCCACGCCCCCGGCTCCTGTCTCCGCGCGGATCGACGCACAGAGACGTTGACGGGTCACCGTGCTCACCCTGAAGAATGCAAGCAACTGCTCGCTGGGATTCGTTGGTGACTTGGCGAGGATCGAGCGCAGCTGTTGCAGCGTGTTCAGCGCAGCTCGCACCGGCGTGGGAGGCAGCGCCCCCTGGGCAGCAGCGGCGTCCCCTGCCGGCGACGGAGGCGAGGGTTTCGGCATCAGCAGTGGGTTGTGCTCGAGGAACTGCGTCTCCTCAAAATCACCGTGGCGACGGTAATGCTTCTGGTAGAGCTGAGCGAGACTCGCCACCTGCAACGCAGATCATAGCCATACATATAGTTATATACATACATGTGTATATAAATACATATGTGTACACAACACAGATAACAATTTTCTTGACAAATTTAAATTGAAACGATTTTTTTTACCTACTCCTGGTACATACATATATAAGCACATCTGAACAAGGACAAGATAACCCTGTTTGTGCGTCTACAAGAGGATAAAGGTCGGGGTTTTCCCGCCTTGACATCCACAACAGAGATCATTGTGTCTTGAAGCCACCGTCGGCATCACAAACGCTGGCATCCATATTGACACTGCGACATCTGAACCGGAAACGTGTCACGCCATAATTCCTTTCAGAATAAACACTTTCTACGATAGATTCACTAGAAAGAATCTATCCACCACCATGTCTCACACATACTGGCTTCATCACCAATCAGGTTCCCTACTGCTCATTCTACATGGCAAAATCCTGCGGCATCGCCGGTATGGTTCGTTAGCGTGACGATGGTCCGACGGAGACGGTAATCGAATCTCCGCCGATCCACGACGTGTTCCGCACGTCGTCGCCGCGTTTCAAGACGACAGCGTGTTCTTCGTCTATTAGGCGAATCTATGTGCTTACGTCGGCGTGCGGGACAGAGCAGACGAAAGGCTGCCAGTACGTGACGTGAACACGCAGTATCTCCTCCAGCGTCGTGTTCGTCTGGCCGGCGAGTATTTCCAGGATCGTGTGAGGCTGCTCGAGTGACGACCTTCCCACCACCGTGTCCGCTAAAGCACGCGAACACGCGCGCGCGTAAATACTCACTCACGCTGCACGTATACATTCACACGCTCGTTTAACGAGTTTTTTTTTTCAAATTGTTAAAAAACTATTCATTTAATAAGTACTGTGTAATAGTTGATTAAAGCAACATATCAATCAAATATTATTGGAAAAGAACTAATGGCAACATCCAAATTAAACAATGTTAATCCTCTGGCGATGCTCGTATTTAACCCCTGACCTGTGACACTAGCACAGTGTAAGCACTGTATAATAATGGTCTCATTTAACAGACAGTTCAAATCACAGGGCAGGCCTCTTGTTTGTTAAACGAGCTACGATACCAATAGGATGCTGTTTTACCGAATGGGCTCTGCAGAGTGAAGCTTGGTACAGACATGATGACGTGGTCACAGGCACACAGTAGAAGGTGGAATGCCGTGATCAATTCATGTCCACACGACAGCGCCCTATCTAGAATGTTAACACACAGGCATAGTTACGACAAGCCATCGTGTGCACGCACCGATTAATTGAGCAAACCTACCACTCATGCATATGTTATGGTGCATTCTTCACTGTAATTAGTACGGAGGTTTTTTTGACATTTTAACATGCGGTTATGATTTAAAAATCCTAATGCATTATTATGAGACAAAAATTCCTTCTGAAAGTGTTGAGCTCAACACGAAAATCATTACTGAAGATTCATGTGTTAATATCATTGTGCAGTCATGCAAGCCCACCAACGTCTGTTACAATCGCATGAAAGTGTAGAACAATAACACATAAATGCATAAAACATAGATTGAGCTATTACAGCTAATAAATGCTACACAAACATTTACCTTTGGCAAGAAGAAAAAGCGTCCATATCCACTGTTTCACTCTGTTCGTGTTTAATTCAGCTGTATCAACATTTTCTTTTTCGCTGCAAAACCAATATTATGAGATTTATAGCTATAATCATGCCTCGTAAAATAACTGGTTAACTTACCTCTGAGAATCAAATCAGATCTAACAATTAAATGATGCAAAACTTCTACAAAATACCACGCAAACAACTGTTTTTGTAATTGCGTTACATTTATAGCTCATTAACTCACCCACTTATAAGAAATGCACTGTGTTCTTCTCTAAATAAGTCTGGAAACAACCTGCCAAAAATAAGCCGAACAACAAATGAATTGATATAAACTAAATAAAACTAAATAGTATTTTAACACTAAATTCTTAAATTAAACTTTTACATTTGAACGTTGCACACCGAATACAACAATGGCATTACCAAATAATAATCAACTTTACTAACACAGATTATGAAATATATATAATAGTCTAACAAACTCCATAGAACTGCGAGTTTATGACCGATCCAGCAAATAGTCTGACAGTTACCTTTCGAACTTGTAGAAGAGGCACGATGTGACGCAATATTTACGTTCTAGCGCACGGAACCTGTAGGATACTGGTTCGCTGAATGGCAGCAGCTCTCTCACAATACGCATCTTCTTAAAGAATGTTAACATTCTGCAACAACAGATTTCAGTCCATTTTAACACATAATTTAGCTGCTTTAGCATTGATTCTTCTCTCGATTACAAGCCCTTAACCATACTCGGGCACTTGAAAAAGCTCCTTTAGTGGAGTAAAAAAATCCCATAAAAATAAGTGTTGCCAGCTTAGAAACATTACATGGAAATCTATAAACATACGTTCCTGATATTAGTAATAACATTAAAAATCTATACGTAACAGTATAGTTTAGTATGGATATGGAAATGGTAATAAACATATCTGACTCATCTACGCACTGTATCAATGTCTATGAAACACAAGTGGTGGACAACTATCATGACTGCCGAAAAATCACCGGATTCTATGTGCGGTGCATTTAACATGAAGCATTTCTTGTTACTTACGTGACATGAGCTGCTGAGATGAGCTGGGAAACTGTCATAGTTGCCGAGTCACGTTCCAGAGCTTGAAGGTTTGGGTCACCCAAGCCATAAGGCTCCCTGCATGTATCGCAAAATATCCAAACATGTTCTAACACGTACGTTACAACAAACACATGCACACACACACACACACGCACGCACGCACGCACAAGCACACATGCAGACACACGTTTATCAGACGAAATAGAAAATTGGTTGCAATTCACAACCAGGATTGGTATATAACAAATTTACACGGAAACTGTAACGATGGTATAGCTATAGAAACAAGACATCAAAGAAACCAAACATGCTAATAGTGAATTGTTTGCAAGGTACTACATTACTATGATTACAAATAAAATGTAATTGCACAAACAGTTAAAAATAATAACAAGAGCCGCAGAGCGTCTGGGCTCATCTGAGGTCTGTTGCTACGATTATAAACGTAAAATTTCAGTCGTGCGTAGTACCACATTTGTTTAGGCGCGCAGATATGCAGACACGCAGTTGCGTACACATCATTGTTAGGACACGCCCACTATCGCAGATGGAGGGTAGGGGGAGGGTGGGGGTAGGGGGTGGGGGAAGGTGGGGGAAGGGGCGGGGGGAGGGGGTGGGGGAGGGGAAAGGGGAGGGTGGGGGGAGGGAGCTCTAATAGCAAAAGCAGTTCACTCCTTTGTTAACAGTCAACAAATCCATGTTTAACCCTCCTCTTGAGGGTCAAAAGGTTATCCGACACTTACTCTTCGCATGTTCAGCAGAAGGGACATTTCATGGTCCTTTCAATAAAGCCATAAAAATGCTAGGTCACCGCTGAAACAAAAAAGTTTTTTCAATCGCTCCGTCAGACCATAGTCCTCAGAAAATGTCTAAAATCTGCCCCTGTGCCCATTGACCTTTGACCTGTGACCTCCAATTTCGGCACAGTGATGGCTTTTCTTACCATGGTGTTATACACCGACTATCACGAGCCTAGGTCGATCGAGCCGTTTAGATTTGTGCCGCAATTCTGCATTTCCTCCCTATACCTTAAGTTAAGGAGTGAATGTTACCCCTTCTTTTACACCTCTTGACCTTTGACCTTTGACCCCCAGCTTCGACATCCCAACTCGTTTTGACGATCCCCCCCAACGACCCGAATATCGTGACCGTACGTCGAGCGGTTAAGATTTGTGCCCAACTGTTGACGGACGACCGGACGGACGGACGGACGGACGGACGGACGATCAAGCGATTCTACAAGCTGCATCTGACTATGTCAGATGAGCTAAAAACTCATGTTCTGACACTCTAGTGTGATACTTTACTATTAATTTACCAAATACCTAATATCTAGTGATGCAATGTAGATTACACAGATGTACCATTCTGGTGGGTTAACCTATAAAATACATAAACGATGTATAATTTATCACTGAAGCATACATTTATACAAATATAATACAATTGCATAATGCCAAACAAATATAATATAACGCATAGTAAATTTTGCTACCATATTATGTTGGTATCACGTTCATATCAAGAAAAGACTATAGTCTGCGAAAACTGATTATACTACTAGTTCTAATATGGCCGAGGAATGTTTAACTGCAACATCACTATAGTAGTGTGTATATATATACAATAAACTGTAGGAAGAGCAAAGTAACGGCATACAGTCATAGAAAGCCACGCATGCCTAATCTGTGATTATTAGTCTTTTAATTACCACATAATAATGGTCTCAGGTCAAGTGCTGTACCATTTACTAATGCCATAATTGGAAAAGCCAAATGTTATGCTGAAATTCAACATTCAGGACGTCGTAAATGTTAAAAATATCGCTCCATTTTTATCTCATGAAATCCAGTGTTTCCCCTGGCCAAAAAGGTCTGTCAGGTGGTAAATTGTTTGTGTATGTGTTAGCGCGTTTTGAGGTCCTAGCAAAGCACTCAATCAGCTAGTGAGGTCGGGGGCATGCCCCTTAGAAATTTTTAGAAAAAATGGTCCAATTTGGTGCATTCTAAGCTATTTTGGTGCATTATAAGCACTGTTCTACGGAAGAACAGTGATTTTCGATTTCAGCGATGCGGTGTTTTGGACAAATTTCAGTGTGGCGGCTGAGAATTGAGCGAGGCGGTGCCTCGCTCATGTCAATGCAGGGGAAACACTGGAATTAATGTCAATTGAACTTATAATGCTAAATGAAATAAATTATAATGTAATAAAGAATAGATGTATGTTACTATAGCAGGTCTCTACATCTAACAGATTCACATGAAAAGTTGTGGGAATCTTGACAAAGCATAATGGAATGTAGATGCACATGGACGGTCCCGACCATAATGCAAATTAAGTGTATTTGTCATACTTTTTGTTTGGTTATATCCTTGTTAGTATTCCGGGGTCATAGTTAATTTATGTGCATACTTTTTATAATGCTTGCATTTATAATTAATAAACAAAGCAAATCTGCGATGTAAATTTTTATTTAAATATATGTTAATTTTGATGACAAATAATCAGGACTTTAAGGTGGTACTTTTTTCATAATGGTTATATCTTTTAAGAAACATATATATACATACCTTAAAATCTTGTATATCACTTACTACACAGAAAAGCTTAGCCCATATTGCCAAGGCTTTGGCTGAAATGTCTTCTGGACATCTTAAATCTCTACAAAACTGGCTAAAGGCAGCATCTTTACAGACAGGTTCATCACCATCGGGCAGTCTTGCACTGTCACTGTAATGGAAACATACTATGTACAATAATACCTACATTATGGTAACTCTATGGTTACTGTTGGACTTCAAATCAAAGTGTCACTGTCAGGGTGCATGTACATTATTGCAATGACTAGACACGATCTATATGACAGTAAGTGAATAACTCTGAAAAGTTGGATACAGTATATCATCAGTCCACCCAGTATCCCTAACCCAAACAATGATGTAACCTAACCTTAATGTAATATCAGCAAAAGTTCATGTGCTAGCAAGGAATCACGGGGGTAAGCAACCTAGCACGAACCCGGGTACCAGGTATGTGCAAGTAGCTGACAGTCAAAACAAACCCGAGATGTGCACAGCCAGGGTAAAAAATACTTTTTTTTTCATTAGAGCCATTTTTTGAAGCTCCAGAATTCCCATTTTCTTCCAGACGGTCCATTTTCTATGTATCCAGAGCCATTTTCATAGTTTCAAATTTTCGAAAAATACGTAATATAATGTACTCTTATTTTATTTGTGGGGATGGGGACATCAATGTAAATTGTATGTTATTAATTCCATGAATGTGTCAAATTTTCTGTTAATACATACATGTACCTATAATTATATTTACATTACTACATATCACTAATCACACTTGTAACTCATGATCCAAACATCCTTTGAATCCATTCGCATTCACAATGCCGCCTCCGAGGCTCCGACACCTCTGACCTCTCCCATCTTCTAAGTTCTAGTATCATATGATAGTACCATACTACCATTCTGTCCACCACTCCCCTTCTCAGTTCTCACTCTTCTCTCTCTACATGTACACATGCTTCACTAGTCACTACTTCTAGATTGCTTATTGTTTTGTTACTCTGTAATAAACATACAGTATGAACCACGTTATCTTTTCGTTTGGATGCAAATAAATGTTTTTTTATATAAAAATACCACTGTGCAGTTGTTTGTTTCTTTTTTCAGTCTCAAAATAAGAAAGTACACGGTTAATTTGTCCCAGTCTCACAGAGATGTCACATCACATCTGTCAGCATATAGTTTATCATTGACTATCATTCATAGTTTCAACAGACAATGTATGAATGCAATTGTCATCACATCATTGCAGATTAATACAAGGCAAGAGCTGGATTCAGCTGGTATTATTGTCAAGTTAAATTTAAATATGAATGAAAGTGTCAACAGTTTCTAGTTCTACACTCTGTTGTATAACTTTTATTATCAATTGTATTTTATTATGCGTCAGCGGGTTGATCTAGCCAGCGCCAGCTGCATCGGATACATAAGCTGGGTTTACACTGACGATTTTGAGTTGCCAAATTGTACGAACTTGGCAGTTTGGCAACTGACAATCGCCTGTGTAAACGCAAAAGTCGCACGTCCAGCCGATCGATAGCAGCGAGTCGGAAGATTAGAACTGAACATGTTCTCATTTCCCTAACTCGGAGCAGGCAAGTTGGACGTTTTTTTGCCAAGTGGCCAATCAGACAACAGCAATCAGGGGTGTGTCCCTCCACCCTAGGGGGAGAGCACGTTTTTGCTTTAGGCACCACGTTGGCGGCATGTAATACATGCAAAGATGCGTATCAGCGTCGCCCCACGCGCACGCTACGGGTCAAATGTTGAAACGTTTGCGCCTCGCTGACAATAACGTAAGAGCTTTGAATACATATATAGAGAGGTTGGTAGAAAGAAGAAAAACGCCAACTTGACTGCATATAATCGTCAGTGTAAACCCAGCTTAAGCCGGTGCTGCATGCATGCACGGTGTATATGTAGCGCTCGCTGTACGTACGTACTTGTGTACATTTCAATTTATCAAGCCATGGGAGAGATTTTCTCTCGGGCGATCGCTTCCGTTATTGTTCTTACCAGAGCGATTTTTAGAGCTTACCAGAGCGAAATCGCTCGTCGCTCCGATGTATTTTTTCCCCTGTGCACAGCGCGTGGCTTTTAATTGCTATCGAAGAGGAAATTTGGCAGCGACTGTTTTGCAGTTATTAGCATGCCGGGCATTTGAGTCGGAATTTCAGGAGTGTCAGTGGGACTGGGAGGAATGGTGGTAGAATGTGTAATTAGCACAAATTTATGAATTTTCAGTGCACTGGAGTTGATTAACGGGGTACGGTAGTAACGGTATACTCTACCAGTGACGTAATTTTGGAAGAAATCACTAATTAAAACTTTAATTTACTCAGTCGACGTACAACTACAAGTTTCAAAATGAATTATTTTTGTCACGACTTGGACTTACGGTCTCTAGACACATACATTATCATAATTCTATTTGTGTCAACATCAATAAATATATGAAAGTATTATCATTTAACGATTCGTGTTTTGCATTTAAATGCAAAAC